AAAATGTTTTCTTTTTCGTACAGTGTTGCCATTGCTTGCTTTGAAATCGTTGAATTTCATAATCAAATACTCATAAATATGAAATAGATAATAAAACAAATTTCATATTTGAGCTTCCAGATGTCCATGTTCGGGTGGAGACGTACGTTATTCAAAATTGGATGGCTCTAGGTACCGTTATTTTATGACAATGCGAGAAACATACATACATTTATGCAGGTATTTCATTATTTAATTTTTTTAAATATAATACTGGGCGATAATATTTGGTAGCAACAATTTGAAAAGCGAAACGCCGTGTATAGTGAAACGCCACAAAACGCTAAAACGAAATTAACAGCCCTTCTATGCCAAAACCCTTTGGGGTAATAATTCGTTACAGGGCAGTGTAAAAATAAACATATGTTAGTTAAGAGTGTCTTTTATAAATTGCAACGAATTTTTATAACGTTATCAGTTGTATTTATTGTAAATCGTATGATTTAAAATCATTAATAACACGATTGCAAAGTAAATTAAAACACAAATTGTCGTTTAAATACAATCAGTGCTTTTAAATCACTCCATTAATTAAGCAGTATGTCTGTAATTATAATTTGAAAGATAAATATCTTATTATCATATTCGGTGGCAACATCTCAGAGAACTGGAAAATTACCAGGCCCCCTGTAGTCTATGATAAACTGAATAAATGGAAAAATTAAATCGAAATCGTTTCGGTCGTGAAATAAAAATAATTTTAAAAAAAAAAGCACAACAGGAAAACATAGGTATCCTTAACTCGAGTGGAAAACGCAAAGCGTAAGGAAAACGGAATAATAAAGGATAAAGATTCCCAACGAGAATAACACTCCTCCCAAAGCAAGACCTCAAAAAATAAGGGGGGGGGGTGAATAGGTCTGCTTGCTCAGGTTGTGGGTGGAGACAGCCAAGTGGGCACTCCACGTACCCAGTCATTTCGGCGTTTACCCTTCGCTCGGGGTCGACGACTGGTTAGAGTTATTATTTCGAAGCACAAAATCTGAGCTCGCGTTTGTCGTCTACGGAACGATACCGCTCGCTTGTCTGTTATTTACAATTTGATCTTCCACTTGCGATAGGACGAGGTGAAGTATGCTTCGCAATTTATGCATTTTTTTATCCCTTTCACCCCCATGGCAACTTTGTTCGGTTTAGCAGATTTTACAACGTCTCCAGAAAAGCCACCAGACTAAAATTTCGCAAATTATCTGTGTCTTATATCTTGGAGGGGAAATTTGGATCATTATAGAGTCTCCAGATCTCACGAAAACGATTACATTAGACATACCCAAACTGGTGTTCACTCTTATTTCGCTGCTAACTGAGAAATATAGTTGCACCGTACATAAAATTTGGATCGTCGTGGATGTTTCATATATTGTTGTCGTATACTGCATATGCAAATAATAAGATCGTTACAATTTCACAAAATACAGCAGCAGTCTATGGCAGCGGTTTTCAACATTTTGACTAACGTGTGCCATCGGTTCTCAACCGGTGGTACGCAAGAGAAAAATAGTTGATACGCAAAGAAAAGTATTTTGAACTATTAAATTCAAAAAAATCTCGTGAAGAAAAAGAAACATTGATAGAAATTTACTGTGATCGAAGTCCAACTGAAGATTTCAAAAGTAATACACTTGTTAACTTTTGTATGAACCAAAAAATAACTTTAAAGGCATTTCAAATAAAGCTATTAAATTTTTATTGCCTTTTTGCACAACCTATTTGTGCGAATAAGGATTTTCAGTACTTTTCCGTTTTGCCGGCGCAGGCGATAAAGTCGCCAATAATGGTACAACCGAAGCCAAGCGGAATATTCTCGCTGGTAACCTTTTACGCCTCATTTTCAAAACAAGTCGCCAGCCATTTCTTATCAGATTGACTGTTTCTTTCAACACAGGCATACAATTACGTATAATTTTTACCAGATAGCTCAATTTTATGCCCGAAGGCAATTCGCGGAAATTAAGTCAATAAGGATCCAATCACACCGCTCATCCGAAAGCGAAAATATAGAAAAGGCAAACCCAAGGGTTAAATTCATCCATTCTTATTGAGAATGCACGCAAAGTAAAGCACTACGGTTTTACATAATTTCTGAGTAAGCTATTCGTACGAATTGAAATATTTCTTACATTTAAACTTGTGTTCCAAATTAAGATTTAACTTGAACCTCGGACCGAACTACCAGTGTTCAACGACTTTGCCGCTCGGCCGCTGGTGGGCCAAGATTAAGACGAGAGAGGGCCATGGAGCGGGCACTGCAAGGGTGAGTAAGAAATCACTTACTTATCAGAGGGGAAGGTTCCGAGAATTAATGTAGATAATTACTGAGAGCATTAGATTTTTGTAGAATAGTTTACGTAAGATGAGATCATGAGTCACGTGATAGGAACGAGCGAATCAGGATGTTGAGCCATGAAAGCATAGTAAATTCTTAATGTCTTTTACAAATTTATTGTCTTTATTTATTGGCTTTTTACAAAATTTTAAACGATATTAAAATGTTTGCCTTCAAAATAAAAAAAATCGTAGAACTAATATTTGTTAACATTTTTTATGTGTATAATGTATCTTGTCGCCAATAAAGTCTGCTTGGCGAGATTTGCGCCGGCGAAACGAAAAAGTACCGGATTTTCTTGCACGTTATATGTAAAAATTAAATACAGTACACTCCCGATTATCCGCGGAATTGGGTGGCGCAACCGCCGCGGATAACAAAAATCGCGGATAATCCGAAAAAAGCTAAAAATGGGTATAGAAAAAGAAAAAACAGTTATTCCGATTTTGAAAAATGTATATGTACAATAAAACGTAAGATAAACAGCAGGAAATGTTTAACTAACGCTTAATATTTTAATATATCACTCAAAACTAACCTAAAATGCATTTTATTAATGAAAACAGAGAAGTACTTACGAGAGGCGTCAAGGATACACAGAAAAATTAAAACATATTTACTGTTTTAATACTGTAATGTATTATGTAATTACAAAAGCATAACTGTAAAATCAGTAAGATTAAGTAAGACTTATCAGTAAGATTAAGACGTGTGTGTGTATTTTGTGTATTTTAATTATGGCAAAGCACACTAGGGCTATCTGCCTAAAGGGAGGGATGCCTTCGTGGAGGACTTTCTAAGGGAAACTGGCTCGTATACACGTTACACATGGGGAAAACCACGAAAACACCCATGCAGCCAGCCCGTTCGCGGGATTCGAACCTCGGACCGAACTACCAGTGTTCAACGACTTTGCCGCTCGGCCGCTGGTGGGCCAAGATTAAGACGAGAGAGGGCCATGGAGCGGGCACTGCAAGGGTGAGTAAGAAATCACTTACTTATCAGAGGGGAAGGTTCCGAGAAGGCCTGGGATATTTTTGCTATAAATAAGCACGATGTTTAGCAAATTTAACGTTTCACTCAGTTTTGTGAAAATTTTTATTTTCTTTGCTTTACGCTTGTAAAAGAAAAAAAAAAAAAAAAAAAAAAAAAAAAAAGCCGCAGGCGCGGATAATCGGGAGTCTACTGTACAGAACAAAATTAAAAGTGGATCTTAATTTGCGGTTAAAAGTAAGTGAAATCAGACCAGACGCAAAGGAAATTGATCTGTCTTAAACAGGCCAAAATTTCGCACTCAAATTTAGAATTAAACTATTATAACTTAAATTTTGATAATAAAAATGGTAATCCATTTTTAATCTAAAATATTTTAATGTATACATATTTAATACAAATAGGCAACATGTTGTGAAATGTCAAAATATATTTATGTATCTTTAATATTTCTATTGAGAAACTGAAAAATAAGCATTGTAAAATCTAGCGGTGGTACTTAAGTTTTTCAGTTTTTATTCAGATGGTACGCGTTAGTCGAAAGGTTGAGAACAGCTGATCTAAACAAAAATTGAAAATCTTAAGTACCACCACATTTTACAATCATTATTTTTTAATTTCTCAAAAGAAATATTAAAAAACAATATTTTGCAATTTGCACAACCTATTGGTTAATTCAGAAGTCAAACAACAAAAATCAGCGTTATATTCACAAAATTTTCACAGGACTAGTTTCGATGGTTTTACCGAACCATCATCTTCAGCTGCAAAACCGCAAATGAACAAGATAGGAAATAATGATTAGATAAGATAAGAAAGCCTGGACAAGAATAAGCAAGTGGCGCCATCTGTTGGCGAAACCAGAACTAAAACATAATTTCTCTAAAAGCCGAAGGCAAATTTGGATTGGAATTAGGATCGTTAACTAGAACAGAAAGATTTTTATGAATGTGAAATGCCTCTAGAAAATCCAGTTCTCCAATGGAAGATGTTTTTTGAATAATTTTGGCAGCAGAAAAATTGAAAGTGTGATTTTCGGACCAACAATGTTGAGCAACAGAAGACTTCTGTTCTGTGTTCCTTTTTTCTAACATATGCCTCATGTTCCTTGACGCGAAATTTTAAGGCTCTCTTAGTTTGACCAATGTAAATTAAACCACACTGGCAAGGAATCCTATAAATACCCCAGGAATTCATATCCGGAATGGGGTCCTTGAGTATAGAAGTTGGAAATTTTATTGATGGGAGGTAAACAACCCGAAAGTTAAATTTCTGCAAAATATGTGCAACTTTATAGCTAATTGATGGAAAGAAGGGAATGACAACAGAATTTTTATAATCTCCTAAAATAAGAGTGTGGCTTTAAGTGTGTTGAGATGACAATTTTTTAAATGCTTGATTAATAATGTTGGGTGAAAAGCCCCTGTCAATAAATAAAATAACCTATTGGTTAAAAATAACCTATTGGTTATTTTTACTTAGTATGCACACATAAAAATCATAGATTAAAAATCTATGAAACTCGACAGCTTGTATTACTTATCGTTAATTGGTGGCATATTATTTAATTATTTAAAGTATATAAAATAATATACATAATGAAAGGCATTTATAATGTTATGACCAAAAATTCTTATATTACCATCGCTGAAATCCTTGCTGGATCTTGTTGCCACTTTTTTCAAGTGGTAACTAAACTCTGCCGTGGCCTGTCGCAGAGCGTCGGTAATAGGATTGGCTTCCATATACAGAGCCACTTGACCTCGCTGAGAAGACACACATCTCACCAAGTCTTTTGGATCATCGTTATTAAACACGAGATGAAGCTTCTTTATTCCAGCCAGATAGATACGCGCACCAGAGGTCGTATTGGATCTTTTGATACAAGCACTGAAGTTGCTTCCTTCAGTTCGGTGCTGCAGAACTATTCTCAGTGCTCCTTGAGGATAATGCCACCGGATTGTTCCCTGATTGCAGCGGAGATACACTGGTTGAACACCTCTTGAAAGAGCCATCTCCAGAGTGCCACTGTAATAAAGAAGAAGAAAATGGCTATTGTAATATCAGGTGCTGCATTTATGTACACTGCGCAAAAAAAAAAAAAAAGGGGGCAGTTCTATGTCTCCCGTTCTACTGGGCCGATTGACGAAATTCAACTTGCGTTTTTCATGTCTCGAAAGCGCGACTTAGGATATGTAAGAATTGGAGGCTCCCTTCAGCAAACCTAGACACGAATGTCCCCATAGCTCAAAAGAAGGAGGCCCCGTATCTGCACAAACGAGGGCAGCCAGTAAGTAACCCAGCCACCCCCAAACAACAAACAAAAATACTAAATCAAAAATAAATAAGCACATCTAACACAAAATTACAGACCAACAACAAACAAACAAAAAAAAAAAAAAAAAAAAAAAGGTAAAAGTATAGTTTAGGGTACCCCTTGGCGAAACTTGGCGATTTTTGGCGGTACATGGATACCGATTTTGTGCAATTCTTTGACTCTTATTTTGGCTTGCGAACAAAGCCAAAATAACAAGACAAACAATTGCACAAACTCGGTATCCATGTACACATCGACTTATTTTCACTTCAACCCCCCCCAACGAATTGCACAAAAATGGCATTGCGCACTCTTTTAACTTTAGCCATGTACACGTCGACCTAATTTCACTTAAAAAAAATCCCAGAATTGCACAAACTTGCATTGCACACTCCCTTTACTTTGTCCATGTACACATCAATATATTTTCACTTAAAAAGGAGCACCAAAGTCTACAATATAGGCAACAAAAAATACATAATCTCAATAAAATACATTTTAAACCAAACAATAAAATAACATAAAAAAGGAAAAACATGTTATACATTTAAGCACTACCAAAAGCAAATATTCACTTACCATGATTTTCGAGTTCGCTTCGTACACGCAGAGCCACGTAAAAATCAAAATATCAATCATACTCAAATGACTTTTTTCAAACCAGGTACTCTTTCTGATCGAACGTTTCACATAGTGGCATCTGAACCTTTCTTCCTACAAACCCATTCAAATCCATCTAAACGGTTTTAACACACACACAAACGCTTACAAAACATCCCATTATTCAAAATTTCCCAGAATCATGCACCCGATTACGTCACAATAGGGTTCCCATAACATTCAACTACTCAGGCTACCATAAATGAAACAACTTGGCGATAAATCAAACAACTTTGCCATAGTACAAGGGGTACCTTAAAGTCTAATCTACCCCCCCCCAAAAAAATTCATAAACACAAATTCACAACATAGTACACCGCAGATATCCAAAACCCATACAAACACAAAATTCAATTTTAACAGAAGATTCCTACTAGCGCCCTATTTTCATTCATAAACTTCATTAGAGCAATAGAATATGATTTAAAACCTCTAAAATTAATGACACTTACATTAAAATCAGTAATGTTAAAAATCTGTCTAATAGGGGCTGTTAAACTACAATCAACCACGAAATGCCATCATCACCATCAACCTGACAACTATTAAATAATTTATTTTCCTGCGGATTAAATCGGTTGAAATAGATTGAAAACCTACCATGTCCAGTTAAAACCTGATTAACTGATTATTAATATTGTTCATACATTTAATTTTATTTGTGATTTTAATTAGTTCCATAAATCCTTTGTTTTTAGGTGAAGAGAACCACTGTATTTTCCATTTGTTAATGTAATTTTTTTTAATTAGGTTTTAGGATATGTATTAGATTTATATATAGGCATCTTTCTAATATACGTATTTTGACACAAAATCACACTTTTTCTGAAATAACATACCAATTTTTTTCCGTATTTCATTCTACAGCTCAAAATGATGCCAAATTTGCAAATTTTGTAAAAATCGTATGAGTAGTTTTTAAAAAATTAGCTCTCAAAATTTTAGCTCCTTAACGTTAATTACATTTGATATATATTTATTAATATCTCTTTTTTTTTATTAAACTTTTTTGATTTTTTCCTTTCTCGTTTCGAAATTTAGGTTCATTCCAAATAAAATTCACCCATTTTTTTATGATTTATTTTTAAAATTTGTATTTTTAAATAATTTTTTTAAATTTTTAAAAATATTTAATTATAATCTATAAAATTTTTATCATCATCTTAAAGTAGACTTATTTCTAAGACGACTTGTAAAAAAATTACAATTTTTTATTTAAAATTTCCGAAGATATATATGAATTTGCATACAGTTTAACAACAAAATCATAAAATTTCTAAAAGCTGATTCGTAGCGCTACGTTCAGAGTTCCCGATGCAATATGTTAAGTGCTGACGTATATATTTTTTTTATTATTATTTTCAGTCTTTTCTAAGTTCATCAACTCAAATTCAGTTTTCTTATTAAGGCAGCTAACAAAAATCACGTTTTGTCTTTTTATTATTCACTTTTTATGTGTTCACTTTATTAAATATCACGTTCTTCGCACTTACTACGCGTACATTTCAATTTAGCAGAAAAATCACAAAATAGTTAAACGCAGCATAATTTTAGAATTCTGGATACAGGTTCCCATACACATCTTTATATTTGCTATATTAGTTCTTTAAAAACTATCCGGTCGCCTATATTGGTTATCATAAAGAAGGAAAAAGTAATGACCTTAATGACCCCAGCTAGTGTAGTTTCAGAAAAGTACTGAATATCTATTATCGCATTTTTTTGCTTTTGCAAACACGTGTGAAGTGGGCAATAATTTTACATTTTTAAGCTAAAAAGGATTATTCGTACTGAAAGTAAGGCCCACCAGCGCCGAGCGGTAAAGTCGCTGAGCACTGGTAGTTCGGTGCGAGGTTCGAATCTCGCGAACGGGCTGGCTGCTTGGACGTTTCCGTGGTTTTCCCCATGTATAACGTGTATACGAGCCAGTTTCCCTTAGAATGTCCTCCACGAAGGCATCCCTCCCCTTAGGCAGATAGCCCCTAGTGTGCTTTGTAGAATTAAATACACCACACAACACCACTGTATTAAACCTATTTTTAACATTAAAGTGGGTGTTCCGTCTCGGTTAGAATATTTCTGTGTATTTGTACGTTTGCAGCGCCACGTAAGGTCAGTGGCGAGAGCCCAATACTAATCAGTAAGCGATAGGGATGCACTCGGTCCATACTGAGTCTCCGTTCATCTGCCCAAACAAAGCGGCAAGCAATTGTTAATTGTTCCTTACTCACTCTTTGCCCGTTTAAGCGGCATTATTGTGCTTGAAAGAAAATTAATGTTGTTAAGTTTCTCAACTTGACTTTTATGAATTAATATACAGTCCACAACTACCAATTGCTATCAACAGTGAGTTTATATTACATAAGGTTTGGTTTATTAGATTACGGCAAAACGCTCGAGGGCTATCTGCCTTAAGGAAAAGATAGCCTTCGTGGAGGGACTTTTTAAGGGAAACGCTCGTATACACGTTACACATGGGGGAAAACGACGAAAACATCCATGCAGCCAGCCCGTTCGCGGGATTCGAACCTCGGACCGAACTACCAGTGTTCAGCGACGTTAACGCTCGGCCGCTGGTGGTCTCTTATATTAAATAAATTAACGTTAGAATTATTCTACTTTTCGAGTTGAATACTGTGTTGTTAAGTTTCGATTAAAAGTTGATGGACGAATGGAATTGTCGGAATCTTACTTCTTGGCGATTGTGATAAAACAGTTTAAGTAAAATGTTTAATAAAAATATTAACTGTTCGAAACAATTATGTTAGTTCCTCATGTACATTATTCTGTACGTCGAATACTCAACTACTTATAATATAGAGCTTCAGTTATGCAGTCTTGGAAGTACAATTAGTGTCTCCTCCCTGCCCCAAGTACGTTTGGTTTAAGATATTATGTATCAAACGTACTTGGTATCATATTAATAATAAAATTATATATTTCATGTCATTTTAAAATCACGAGAAATACATGTTGAAGACATTGCATTGTAAGGTATCTCTCCCGCCTTCTTAGCATGCGTTCGTGGTGTAGTAGACAGCACGTGGTGTAATGGACAGCGTATTCGAGAGGTCCGAGTTTCGCGTCCTGGCGAGGGCATTGCTCATTTTTCACGTCTCTCAACATAAAAAATCCTAATGTTTCTACAGTGGCGCCCGAACTAAAAGGTGGTGAATGATTATTCTTTACCACCAGGATTTGGCGACTGGGTCACCTAAATCCCAGTCGCCCTTTAAAAGGGGCTGTATATAAGGTATTTCTCCCGCATTCTTAGCATGCCTTCCTGGTGTAGTGGTCAGCGCACTCGGCGTGTAATCGAGAAGTCCGTGGTTGAAGTCTCGGCGAGGGCATTTGCTCATTTTTCATCTCTTCTGCTTCGAAATAACCTTATAAGGTACTTCTCCCACTTTCCTAGCGTGCCTTCGTGGTGTAGTGGTTCTGCACGCTGGGCCGGTATTCCAGAGTTCCGTGGTTCGATTCCTTTCGAAGGCGGTTGCATATTTTTCATCTTTTCTGCTTCCAATTAACCTAATGTCTCTACAGTGGCGCCCGAAGTATAAGGGTTGCGGATGATGACTCTAGACACCCAGGATTTGGCGATTGGGTCCCCTAAAAACCCCAGTCGCCCTTCAAAAAGGGGAGTATATAAGGTATATCTCCCCTTTTCCTAGTGTGCCTTCGTGGTGTAGTGGTTCTGCAGCTGAGCCGGTATTCCAGAGGTCCGTGGTTCGATTCCCGGCGAAGGCGGTTGCTAATTTTTCATCTTTTCTGCTTCCAATAAAATACCTAATCGCTCTACAACCTAATGTCTCTACAGTATATATTTGATAGTTTCTCTGCTCGCTTTTATAGTTCATGCAGAACTACTTATTTAATTTAATTAATAAGTCTTGGATAATCAACAAAACTTTGAAAAACGGAAAGATATATATAAAACAATTCCAAGCACACATAGTTTCGGAAACGCTTGGAATAAACGAAATAGCCGAGGCACAGAATCATAAAAAAAACACTTGTCAGTAGAGACTGAGAAGAAGAGCAGGAGCAGCAG